TGTGTTTTCTACTCTCATGGCGATTTGTTTGACTTCCTTAGGCAAAGTTTCATTCTCTTCCCGGATAGTGCCGGCTGTATTGAAAAGCTTGCAAACTCTGTCATAAAGTTTGCCAACTTTTTTACAAACTCTCTGCTTAAGAGTTTTGCGTGGGACCACGGATCCTGAAATCTTTCCAAAGTCAAACATTTTCAGTTTAGTTTGATGAGCAACTACTTTAGGCTAAAAGGTTTGCAGCAATTTCTGTAAGCAGAGACGACGCAGACTCCTTCAAAGTGAGGCAAAGGGAATCTTATGATAAAGTCAAGAGTTCCACCTCTGTGACATCAAAGGAGTCTGTGACATCATTGTTGAAATCATTCTTTAGTCCCGTAGCCATGCCAACATGATGACCTGACAACATTCTGACACGCCGGGCCGCCTCACTGTTAGTGATGTGTGATAAACTGTTGATAAAATAAAACTCCTTTGGTCTTAATATCATTTCAGTAACAACTATTTATTGCCATGTAAAACAAAATTTGCCATTCAGAACTGAAGCCATGGCAACGTACAATAGCAGAGAATGAAATAGGTTATTTTCAAAATAGATATTTATGAAGATTATTAACGATCGGAGGCTTAATATTGAGTGCCCTTTAAATAACATGAACACTAATATGTCTGTTTTTAATGTGTTCTTTTTTTTTTAATTCCATCATTTTAAAATAAAATAAAAAAGATGAGGGAAATGAATACTGATAGCCATCAGAAAGAAATGATGTATATTAAGCTAACAAAAAGAATATAACCTTCAATTTTATCATTTTTGGTGGTTATAACACGTAAAGGTAATAAAATACGAGTAAACATTTTGTTTTTATATACATATAAATGAATGTTTTAAAAACAATTATTTTTAAAATGATTAATTTTATTATTATGTACTTTTAAAGACAAAATGCAATAAGTTGTTAATGATAAGCATTTTTAAGATGATTTCATAAATTTTCAAACAAGACACAGTTTGAAACTAGAACCACCACGATCAACAGGGCACTGAGTCAGGCTGTAGCCAGGATCCAGACTTTAGTCTTTCATTGGTGGTAATCAGGATAGACAAAGAATCAAAAATATGAAACAACAATGACTTGACAATTGCAGCACCGTGCATTGCCTGTGCGACTCCGAACGTAGACTTTCTGGAATTTATGTTGTTGTTCTTCTGGGGGGTTTTCACATGACATAAAATCACCAGATCAAACTCAGTAAACATCTCAGCATGTCCTGGCAAATTCGTTTTTCCCCAGACAGGAATAAGTGGTTTTAACATGGGATTTAGTTCTGTTTTCTTGGCAATTTGCTTACTTGATACGTCAAAACAGAAATTTGTGTGTTGCTTTTCTTAGAGCCCCTTATTTCAAAATCGGGACTGCAGAATGCATAATCACCTCTATGTCATTGTGAACAATTAGAATCGGGCCAAAGCATAAGCAAATAGTGACTCAATTCTTTGACTTTGCGAAGAAACAAAACCAGTGACGGTTACAAAAACGTCTCCGTCTACAGCAGCAAAGCAATGAAAATGAACACAGTGCCACCATGTGGACATTATCAGTGTCTCTATTTTGTACAATCGGAAATGTCACTTAGTTTGTCCTGGAACAATAATGGTCGTGATTCAGTGGTTCTTTGTCCGAGTACCATATGTGGCACTTGGGCTGCCACTAGTGGTACTTCCAGCCAATATCTGTCTTAATTATTAGCAAGAAAAATTAATAACTGTGGTGATTAACACCAATAGCTAAAACGTTGGTTTTGTTCAAACAAATTAATCTTTGCTGTAAGAAGGAACTGCTGGAAAAATAAAGAAGTTGAGAAAATTTCAACAACTCCCATTTCAACAAATTTCAACAATCAAAACCACTGGGTGTGTATGTATAATGACAAAATCATAAATAAAAATCAGTCAGCAAAAGGACACCATCATAACATTCATCTATGTGACAGTAAATAGATTATGACATCTAAAAAAATACAGGACAAGATGCGTCTGTATATTACATAAAATGTTTCCTTTTGCAATAAAGAAATTAGTCTTTTCTGGTCAGGCAATGTTATTGATTTTAATTGACCAAGCAGATGAATTATGTATGCACATATGATGTAACATTGAAAATAAATATTTTCTTTTTACTGCGGCTATTACAAAATTGTCTATGCAAAGGCAGACATACTGGATATTCAGATCAAAGTTGGTGAGAATCTTTTTGTGTTTTGCACTCCAAACTTCTGTGAACTTTGCTGGAATGTTGTTTCCCATCGTTCCTGTTGAGTCATTGTTTGAAAAAAAAAATGTCAAGAAGGTGGTGTTTGGAAAACGTGACATTTAGATGCGATGCTTGTTATGAAAAACGTTTGTGAACCACTAAATACAGAATATGCCTGGCAAAAGGTTTTAGATATTTCACCATAACCCACATCTTCTGCTAGATGTTTCCAGTTGTAAGAGTTTGAGTGACGCAAAGATGCCACAAAGTGATTCTTTTGACGTAGAGCTGGGAAATCTCCTGCATCATTGTTATTTAGCAAAATGTCTTAAGCTTCTAAAAGTTTGGGAGGGACCGTGGGAACTAAAACAATTCAAGCAATGACATCATCTGTCAGCAGCGAGCTTCAGGATAACACACCCGGACCACTCCATCCGGTTCAGCGGGGAGAGGACGACCGGTCTGTCCGCTTCGAGGAGGCTGCGCTTCGGATGAAAGGTAAACCGCAGCGTGCTGCCGTCAGCCTACAGCAGCATTGAAAGCGGAAGCAACCCAGATCTGTATTTCAAAATAATGTACTATCTGAACGAATACTTTCGGATGCATATTTTGTGATGCAAATGTTGTGTTGGGGGGGAAAAAAAACTTGCATTTATTTGTGTCTTAACATAAAAGTATTTAATTTCACAAAATACTTTTCATGTAGTGCATGTGGCTTGATAAGCAGATTTGTGGCCTCACTCATAAGTGAAAGAGTTGCCTTAAACTTATTTGTATTACCTTAACTAATGCTTTTGTATTTATGATTTTTGCTGGGCCAGACAACAGGAAGAACCCAAATATTGAATTATTATTATTATTATTATTATTATTATTATTATTATTATTATTATTATTATTATTATTATTATGATTAGTAGTAGTAGTAGTAGTAGTAGTAGTAGTAGTACATGTTTTTGTAGACATTGTATTTATATAAATATAAGTCTATAAGAGGTTAGTTATAATATTTTTGGATTTTTCTGAATCGATAATACTTTAGTATCTAAAAATTATAATGTTATAGTACTTTTTTTTTTTACAACATGTATCCACCGTCTAGGGGTTGTACAACCACACCTGCATTAATACCTGTTCATGTATATACCTGAATATTAACGTTCTGTAAGCTGCAATAGTAAAATTTTTCTTCTATGAATAGGGCACATAAATTGTGTCCATCCGGAAAAGCCACCTAAAAAGTATCTATTATCATTTTAATGAGTTTCAGTTATGAGAAACCATACACATTGTTTGGAGTCAAATTCAACCACAAAATATTTTGTACTTCACATTGAACCTTGATAGTTCATTAACAAAGCTAATATGTGTTAGCCAAATATCTTCTCAACAATGCCTCTTGTTTCATGATTTATAATAAATTGTGATTTGCGGTAAAAGTTCACGTTTTATTCCGTCATACTTTTCAGCAAAACAAACCTAGTTAACAGTAAATATATTTCCTGTTAAAACGAAACCGCATTTTTAGGGTGAGGAAATTCCAGAAGAATTTTATTTTGAAAAACCTAGCAACCGGAAGTTTAATTGCTTCGTACATCCACCTTGGAGCAGGTGCTTCCAGCAGAGAGGCAATTAAAAACCAAAGCGGTGCGGAAGGCAGTGATGTGTGTTAATACAAGAGGATTCTGTTTTTTCGTGGAATAACGCACAACTGTGGGAAAATATTATGTTCTGGGAACAAACATATTGTGTTAAAATAAGTTCAGGAAGAACATGAGAGGAGAAACGGCTGTGGTAAGTTTTCTTTTTCTTTTTTTTAATTAAAATATCTATTGGGAAAAAGAAAAAAATAGGCTGTGTTACTGGTAAACTGATTCATATTTGTGAAAAGCTTAGCTTCTTTAGGAAAACGGGCATTTTTCACTTACATTTAATTTGTAATTGTGCTTTTTTGTTTTATTTTAAAAAATCAATAAAGGAAAATGGTGTTGAAGTGGTTGAACATGGAGGAGCAGCAGCACCAACTTCACTCGGGAGTCGACCTGTGAGTCTTGTTTTCTGCTACAAATATGGTTTTATGTGTAAAATGTTGGTTCCAAAGTATGACATTAAGTAATTCCACCGTTTTCTAAAATATTGTATTTTACCTGTATCATATTTTGGAAAATTACTGCGCAGGAAAAACTTAAATTTTCAGATGGGCAATGCTGATTTTTTTTTTTTTCCTTGCACTGGTAGCACTCTAGGTATCATTGTCTGTATCATTTCTCCTGACAAACTGTAATGCCAAACCCAGATTGTCATGGCAACTGTTTGTGAATTCCTTCGCATTGAAAACAATGCTTCTAATCTCTGACATCAGCAATGAAAGCAAGTTCCTCTGTAAAATAGCAGGTGTATTGAATATTAAAGTTTCTGAATTTACTACGTTATGACTGTACATATGAACAGATGTCTCATTTATTTGCATAGAACAGAATTCTCCATGTTGTAGAGTATTATATTTTTGGTTCGTGGTTGGATAATTACATGTTTCTTTGCAGTTTGGAATAAGTAGATTGTAGAATGATGTCTGCATTTCCAAACTTTCTCTATCCCATTGTCTAAAAGAGACTAAAATCACAGACTTGGCGTTGCAGAAATATCACCAGTCAATTCACTGTGAACTTTAGTTGATTTCTTCTTTAAATTCCCCCATAAATATGCTAAAGACAACAACAGCAATTCAGTGTAAGATGCTTGAATGCAGTCTTCTGTTTACAAGATTTTGGGTATTTTCATGTCACAGTTTCAGTTCTGCAGTCTAGTTTTTCAGGTTCTTGACGTTCGTTTTGTTTTTAGCATTGTTTCCGTTCTGTTTTAGAGCATGCCAAATCACAAGCCGGTCGAACTATTTTTGGAAACGAACATTTATATAAACGTGAAAAATTAATCGTTCAAAAATCCTACAGTCAGATTTACTATTTATTATTATTATTATTATTATTATTTTGATACTTTATTTTTACTCTTCTTCATTTTTTTGAAGGTGGGGAAACTTGGAAAAGCTGGCAGTGTATCAAATACTGATTTTCTGATCTTTGCTGATATTTATGTTTGCAAGTTGAATCGTAAAAATAACCAATTTGTACACCCTTACCATAGTTTAACATGTCTGATTTAATCATGAGGGAAGCTAAATGTATGCATTATCAGTGAAGCAATGGTTTGTCTCTGCAGAATGTTGCAACTCTACAAAATATGCTGAAAATGGCTTCTCGTGGCTCCCCTAATCATCACTACAGTGTAAGTGGTTGCACAAATATACAATCAAAATTGGAATTACTGAGGTGCATGTGAACTTTGTTGACTTAGAAACTTAAAAACTGAGAAACATTTCAGCTTCTTTAGCTTTAAACAACAATTAGCAGCAAAGTTCTCTCTTTCTATAATCATGAGCCAAGAGGATAAACGTCTCCAGGTATATCAGAATCAGTCTTCATACTTTGGAAATGGTTGACATTTTAGTCTTTGTATGGTAGGTTTGTGCTCAGAAAGCGTGAAAACCTGCGAGCTGCATTTTAACATTTTCAGGTCAAAGGTTAAATGTTATTATGAATTACAAAACTTTTAGGAGAAGTGTAGTTTAAAATGGCCTGAGGGATTTGACCTGTTTGTCTTGGGTTTTGAAAAGTGACGCCTGAACACATTTTGGAACATTTTTTTTTTTTTTTTGGACAAACCAGGTTAAAGTGTTAATGTTTGGCTATAATGCACTGAAACTGTAGTGTGATGATGGAGAGCTGATAATTTTGGCTTAATTTAAGAGGAGGTGGGATAAAATTTATTTTATTTTTCTTCTTCAGAGTAGTCAGGGAGGTGTAGTGACCCACTGACAGCTCACATCTCAAGTAAACTGAGGAACGAATCCCTTAGTTTCAAGAAAAAACCTCATTTAAGTGTCCAGAAATAAACTTTTTGGTGATCTTAAATGAAAATTTCCTGTTCTTCTTGAAGCTAAACAGGTTGTTAAATAATGATAGGAACTCAGTTTCTTTGGCTAAGAACAAAAGTATACAAAACAAAGAAAACTACAACATTATTATAAAAAAGTATAAGAAATACTTAAAACTAAATTAATCCTCCATAGATGGTAAAACACAAGTGGTTGCATGCTGGGATTTGGAGTTTAAGACAACTCTGTGGAAGTGTTGAATTCACGTATCTGAAATTAAAATAAACCAAACTGTAATGTGGCCTTAAACATGCCAATCACAGGTCTTAAATTTGGTTGGTAACTAGCTGCTAATACACCCTTGCTAGCTAGTTGGCTAATTTTGTTATTCGTCTACCCTCGGTGAATACAAATGTGTCACCAAATGGCTGGAGGACGTAGTTTTTTTTTTTTTTTTTGCCAGTGGCTCACTTTTGTTGCCAGCCCTTACAAGCTAGCAGGACCCCTCAATCATCCTCTTTATTCGTAGTTTTGTTTCTGTTTGAAATTTGTCTTGCTGTACCCACTATGAAATTCCTATCTTTATTGTCTGGGGTGTTATTTCCTTTGAATACCAGAAAAAGGATGTCGACAAATCAGAAGCTACTGTGGAAATTTTTAGAGTAGTTCTAGCAGGAAGAAGTTTTTAAAAAAGAAATGACCTCCATCAGGTGCTGCTACATTCCATGTTTTCATCACGCAACAAAAGCAGCATGCTTCTTTCCTTTCTTCCCACCCATGGATGTTTGTTGATATCTGTAACTTTTGCTCCACAGAGAGGTGAGTGGTCAGATACGGACAACCAGCACTTTGAACAGGTGAGATAAAAAAAAAAAAAAAAAGTTGATCCCTGGATGTGCTTATCCTTGATAATGTTACAGTTTAAGCACCATAAGTAGCTGTTTTAGATCAATAGAACGGCTGAGGATAATGACCTGGTATGGAACTGGTTGATTTGTGCTCCTGTTTGGTTTTGCTATCTACCTAGAAGTTTTTTTGTCTTTAAAGCTTCAGTTGTAGGTGTGTCTCTGTCACATTGTTGTCTGACTAGAAAGTTCTGTTCAGTAACGTCATTCTTGTTGTGATTGCGTGCAAATTGACTAGACACTTAAACACTTAGACACACTAGGCACTGGTTCCTGTCACGGTTTAAATTGATGATTCATGATGCAAAAGCAGGACTCATAGTTTTTGTCATTTTTCAGAATGGAGTCCAAGAAGACTTTCCGTCAAGCCTTCAGGTTTGTTTTTGAATGACTGTTTCTCGCAGCTGTGCAGCTTTAACTAGGTTTTATTTATTTATTAATATTGAATTCTTGTTACTCCAAATAGAATGAAAACTCTGCAGATTTGATCACAGAGAACCCTTTTTATCCATATTACAAGGTATGTATGTTACAGATCTCTGCTTATTGATAACATTGACTTTTACTGAACACATTCCAAATGAAGTTGTGTTCTGCCATTAGGAATCAACTAGCAACATTAATGGAATGGAGGCTTCAGTACAAGCAGACGATTCCATCTCTGTACCCACTATGAAATTCCTAGGCTCACCTCAGGAACTTGGTTATGGAATTAAAGCCACGGAAAACGGAGCTATGTTGTCTGAATGTGTTAACGTGCCTCAGAGGTATGACCCTAAGGACGAGCTCTTCAGACTGTCCTCTCTGAGGCTCAATGGCACTGCCAATGAGGATTTTCATGATTTGGTTCAAACACAAAAGTTCTCTAAACCCATACAGAGAAATGGCTCAGACATTGTCACAGATGACGTGAATGCTTTGTTTGGCTCATCTAACAAAGGGAACGATTTGAGCCGCTCTCCACAAGCCGTGGCACCAAACCCATTTTATAAAACTTTGGCCTCAGAAGCAGATTTGTTTTCAAGGAACGGTGAGGACCTCTTCCAAGTGAATGACACCCAAGACAATGCACCCAACACAGACGGTAACAAGTCTTTTAAGGAAGGGTTTGACGTATTTTCATTGCCTACAAATCCGGTGGATCCATTCCCAAGTCCGCTCCCAAGGAATTTATTCAACGTTCCCAGTTTGGATGATCCTTTTGGTCCAACTCCCTCCAAGACAATGTCCTCTTCTCCTTTAACCAATCGCCCATCTGAGTTCAAGTTAGACACACCAGAGTCAACAGGTCTAGTAAAGAAAACTCCACCAAAAGTTCCTCCAGCTGTTCCACGAAAGCCTCAGATCAAACCAAGAGATCTTTTCACGACGCCTCAGGGAAGCAAAGAGGAATTTCTTGAGCCAACCTCCTTCAGCCAGGCCAGCAGTTTGTCCTCCTCGCCCAGCATTTCTCCAGCTGACATCACTCACGTATGTAACTCTTATTCCAAACGACAAGACTAAACACTTTAAGGTTTCTATAAAGTCACTTCATACGTTGTACAGGTGCAAACTTTCAAACGGCCACCGAGACCCGTTCCTCGAACTCGACGCCCCAAAGCAGAGAAGCCACCAGCACCAGAGAGACCTCCACCCCCAGCACACTCTGTAAGCCTCAAACACGCAGATGATTTTCTGATGTTTTGTGTTGAACTCCATCAATGAGGACACTTGTGACTGTATAAACTCCTTCTCTCCTCTAAACTCTTAGACTAAACTGGAACCAGAAGTACCTGAAGCGCACACTGCTAAGCCAGAACCGCCAAAACCTCCACCTAAACCAGTCCTCAAACCTCTTCCTAAACCAGTCCTTCCCCACAAACCAAAGAAACCGGTATGAAGTGTGATTTGTAATGTGGTGTTCAAATGGGATATCTCTATTGTTAGACAGACATAGAATCTGTATTTTCTGTTTTTATACAGAGAAAGAACTGCAAAACCAAAATTGAAGAGAAAACCAGCAATCTACATCTCTGCATATAATTTGTGACTAATGTCTGCCTAACTCTGGGACTGTTTTTTTTTCTTTTTCTTTCTCATAGTGAATGCAGTTTTTAGTGTATATTGTAACTTCTTTCATAAACCAGTGGCAGACTTGTCAATCATGTCTGGGCAGTAGAAATGTAGCCATGCAAAGTTATCTTCTGCTTCTTATTGATATTTAATTTGAGTGCTCATCTCATTTTTTTTCTAATTTTTTTTTGTTTGTTTGTTTTTTATACCAGATAGAAAATTGTTCAACATGGATGTTTAATATATTTGTTTTACAGGAGAGCAAACCATTGGAACCTGATAACTTTGTGTTTGAGGATGTCCTCCTGATTGGACAGGTGAGTTTCACCTAGAAAAATGTTTCCAACTGTAAAGCTGAAATTTTCAGTCTGTTACATGTTGTGCAGATTTTGATCAGAATGAAAGATATGATGCTCTGTTTAGATTGGAAAAATTTAATCTCATGTTTGAGACACGCTTGATACCTAGGTTTGGGGGTCAGAGGTCAGTAGGGTGACGGTACAACAGCAAAAGCAAAAAAAGTTAAAAGCCAGATTTATTCTTAGTTTTTGTGCCAAGGGTTAAAGTCTGAACTATGTGCATGATGATAAATGTGAGTATGCCCTTAAAACCTGAATGTTTTACGGGCATACTCACATGTGTTTTTTAATCACTCTCCTGTGCTGTAATGCAATGAAAGCCTCTTTTGACATTTAAAAAAGCATCATAACTTTTGTGACATAATCAGTTTCTGATTGTTTGGGCCGATCTTTGACATCTCCACCGTGTCGGTCACAGAATCAAATCAGAGGCTGTATGAATGTGACCATAGAGCTTTTTCACAAGTGTCCTACCAGAAAAAAAATCTGATGCCAATGAATAAATAAATCGCTTTGAAAGAAATATGTGCTGATCTGTTTTATGAAGTTGAAGCAAAATGTAAACATTTTTCCCCTCTAAAAATCAGGAACACTGTGTGGAGGATTGGCCTGAGGACAGTCCTGAGCTGGATCCAGATTTTAAGCCAGTAAGAAAACAAATCTAAATGTTTTTCTTTATTTGTCTTTTACAACGGGGTCAAATTTAATTCCTTGAAACTTTGAATTTTAACTTGTTCTTTTGTCTGACTTCTCAAAGTCTGGAACATTTAAGCTACGAAGAGAGTCGATGAAGGTCAGTCAGTTCAGTTTCCTCTGTTAAACTTTGCTGATTTTTAAGTCATAGAAAATCAGCTGAAGACTGCTGCCTGTTTTTAGGCCAAGATGGAGTCAGATGGAGGAAGCAGTGAAGATCCTGATGGTACCTTTGGTTACGTTAAGGTAGAACCTCTCCTCCTTCCTGCATGTTCTCCTGCTCTACCTGCAGCTTCAGCTAAACTCTGAACATTTTCCAGAAAAAGGACAGGAAACTGCGAATGTCACTGCTGTCCAGAAGAAGCTCAAAGGTAAATCTGATCTAATAAAGAAATGTTTAATTGTTTTGCCTTGTTTTACTAAAATGGTAACATTGACAATGCAGGACAAGTATTCAGATGATTCCATGGAGGGAAAGAGCAACATGCTGCCCAGCCGACAAAAAACTCCCAAGGTAGAGATCGTCACATGTTGTAAAACCAGCAGTTGTTGTTTTATACTAGCAGGTCTTTATGCAGGTTATTTGGCTTTTGTTTTGCAGGAGTTTGGTTCCAATGACTATATTTCTACAGGAGATGATGAAGATCATTATAGTTTGGACTATAAAGTATGTTTTGTTTTCCAACAGTGAAAAGTCTGGCTATAAATACGGTTGACAAATTTATCTTATAACATACTTAATGCCTCTAGAAAAAATCTACAAAGGCCAAAGTCAGTCACCTGTTTCGGAGAGCCTCCGATGCTTCCTCTACGTACAGCGACAAGTATTCACCTTCAAAGGTAGCTTAAAGAAGATTGCAGGAGATTTTCTAAGAGATTTAACTCCAGCTTTCCTTACAATTCTTCTTTAAAAGCAAAGTGATGTTTGAATGTATGAGGGAGTTCTTGAATCCTCTCCAACAGGACGGTGACCATAAGAAAAGCAGCAAGAGGCAAAACACCATTGTACGTCGACAGTCGGCGGTAAGCAACCTCCATTCTTCAAGTTAAATGTGGAAAAGCAGCAGGTCAGGTTTTCAACCCAACATGGATTCATATTTAAATGTATTAATGTATAAACTTGAACTATTTCTCAGGACTCAGTGTTGGACGAAGATTATGAAGATGGGGAGAAAGGTGGCCATCGGCAGGTTGTTAGATTTTTCCCTCGTTACTCAGAAACACATTTCTGATCACATGAAAATAGAACCTGCTGTGCCTTTCATTCTAAACCTAATCTGTTTTCCTCCAGAGGAGGAATAGCAAGGTGAAAATCAAGTTTGTGCCACAAAGAGGATTTGCCATATCATTAGAAAAGGTAAACATCTGATACTTCTCAAATTAAAACAAAATGGAAAAACCCCACCTCATTTCAACTTCTTTGTTTTCTACAGCCACACGGTGAACCAAAAGGAGCTCATGGTTATACGTCTCGCAAGGGCTCAAAGGTACAACGGGGACTTGTGGCTGGTTAACTGTTTGTGAATGCCATGTTTGTGGAATGAGGATGTCTGAACATGTTTGGGATGTTTTCACCCTCACAGGACAAATCTGTTGAAGAATTTGGAGCACATGGCTACACACCTCGTGACAACCTCCAGGTAGAGAGCTATTTCAGTTTCAACAACAACAACCTGCACAAACTGTATCTGATACGACTGTAGATAGGATGCTGACTTGAGACAGCATAGTTTGATACATTTAGTCAGTTTTCCACAGTTTACAGTTCTTGCAGTG